GTACCAATATTCCTACTCTTGCTTTCATCTTCAAAGATCATTCAAGAACCATCAATGAATAAGTTTTTAAAAAAGAGAGAACAGTAGAGAGGAAAACTGGATCAGGAGGTCACAACAAGAAGAGGGATCATCATTTCAACTTAGAGCTAAAGAGATCAATTAGAAAAGATTCAACTCAATAAATAAGACTTTTAGCACCTGAGAGAGGAGTTTCAGTTGTTTTCCCTTGAGTTGATCGCATGGGAGTTTAGACTCTTAAGAGGGCAAAAATTCTTCTTCCCTTTTTGTGCTTCCGTTTGGGGAAAGGTTAATACCTTCCTAACCACCAGGGCGTCAACACATGTGGGAAATAGACAACACATGCACAGTCTAACATAGAAAAAAGTCATTTTAATTCATCTTGCTAAAGACGGTCAAAGAACATAAGGCTCTACGTGTTTGTTTGTTCGTTTCTTTTGTCAAACATTCTCGTCTTTTAAACTATGTGAATAATCAGTTGTTTCGGAACATGTGTAAATCTTTTTTAATATGTGTTAAGCTGTATTTGCTTTATTAAATGTTTTGTTTATTATGGGTACGTATCTCGTCTTTTCATATTCGCATTCAGTGTTAGTGTATCAATGGCTAAACTAATGCCAATATTAATACTTGATGTACAGGAAACCATTATTCTTCCTAGAAGACGGTAAATTATGGCTGGCTTATAAACTATACTAATAATACAATACACAAAAAAAACGATAAGTGACTCGGAGCGGCTTTTCGAGCTAACGTTCTTGGCTGGCATGACGTGAAAAAGATTATATTGAATTCAAGTCAGCTGCGAAGAAAGATGGTTCACTGTACCATGCTAGACAATTTTTATTTCCGTAATCTATCTTGTATATATATAAGTCTTCTATTCATCCTTGCTTTGAATATTGCGGCCACATATGGTCCGGTGCTCTTGCTATATATTAAAAGACTCTTGATAAAATCCAAAGAAAAATCAGCAATATTAATGGCCCTAATCTGGTGCCTTGGATTCAGGCAATTTCCAACCGCCGTAAAGTTTTCCCTCCTGTACCTTTTCTATAAATAATTTTATGGTAATTGGTCGGATGAACTATTCTCTATGGTACTTAGACTTTATCAATTTAAGCGCAGTACTGGCTTGGCAGACAGGTCTCATCAATTTACACTTGCGTTTGACGAGATGTAACCGTAAGTTCTATGTAAACAATTTCTTTTCTCGCACTTCTTGCTTCTGGAACTCCTTTCCGGCCCAATGCTTTCCAGCCAATTTTAATCTTCAAAAAATTTAATGCAATCGCTATCTACTGTCCTCCTTGTTACTCTTCTATTATTCTCGTCCCTTAGTAATATTTCTGTTTTCTAGTTCTTCCACACCCAGTAAACCCTTCCGTCTTTGTGGCTTTACTTCCCTGCTTGAGGGTGAACTCGACAAAGAATAAATAAATAAATAAATAAGATAATCTTAGCTTTCCCGGAGCAAGAAAAATAAATACGTAAAATAAAGTAAGCAATGAACATGGCCGACGAATCGTAACGATTTGATATTCAGTCCAGATACAGAGCTACTTTGAAATTTATTGTAACCATGCGCAAATTCAATGCAGATATAAAATCGATAACATTAATGATATATGCATAAAGCGAGAAAAGAAGATGAAGAAACAAACAAGCAGACATAAAAATTAAATAAATTAAACATAGCCATACATACCGCTGAAAGAAATCTAAAAATAACATAGACTTATATCGAGGCTTCGAATGAGCTCACAAAATCCGGATTTAGATCAGTAGCCGTCTGGACAGCGCTGAGTTAAAAGTCGGTCACAGTTAACAGTTATGGCGATGGATAGCCCAGTGTCTCACCGACTGAGATGAAACCCGAGATATCTACTATGTGCTGTTTCATTTCAGGACGCAGACCATCATGGCTCTCCACTACTTCCTATATTTTGTCGCTCTTAATAACATTTGCCTTTTTGCTATCTTTCCTAAATCTTTGTTCTGCCAACCAGAAGCTCATTCTTTTTCTATGTGCCGTGTTTATTCAGGACGAGTTTTATCATGGCTCTCCACTACTTCCTGCCCTTTTACCCCTTAGTAAGGTTTATCTTTTTATATCCCTTCTAATCCCTGTTCTGTCAACCATTTATAGAAGTTCAATCTTCTTCTATGTGCTGTGTCCGTTCAAGACGATTTCTATCATGGCTCTCCACTACTTCCTGTTCATTCCTAATTATGTACTTTAGAAATTTGAATTCTTTCCTTCTGATTCTGGGACCGAATAAAAAAATAATAATTGATCTTGTTTCTGTGGCCAGTTCTTCTTTTATGTGCCGTATCCATTCAGAACGTGGGAGCTCATGGCTATCCACGACTTCCTTTTGTATAAAGATTTAGTCTCCTAACGATCACTCATCCATTTACTAGTTCTGACGATTAACAACAAAACCCGCCAGCAAGGATTCTGATCATGACATTGGAGGTTTTGAGGAGCGTGGAAGCACCTCTTCATTGATGTTGTTCCCAGGTCCACCCTGACCCGGGGTGGTAGCACCTGTTAGGGTCCCAACTATGGGCAATAGTGAACCATCAAAAAAACAAAACAAAACACTATAAAAGTATAAAATACATTTTATGGAAAATAAGATATTTTTATAGCAAAATGACAAGCAATAGAATGTTATAGCAAAATGAACAGCATTACATATTTATAGAAAAATGACAAGCAATACATTTTTACAGTAAACTGACCAATACATTTTCATATCAGCATGAAAAGCAATGCTTATTTATCGCAAAATGCCCAGCAATACATTTTTATACCAAAATGTCAATCAATACCACACTCAAGTGTAAAAAATATCTTTACATTGCTATAAAAAAAATTAGCAACTTCACTTTTTATGATCTGCTAGCTTTATGTCTAAATAAAACATGCGTTTGCGCTGAAGGTATAGAAATCTCTTCAAAATATCTGTAGTTGAGGCCATACATTTGCGTACAAAATATTTAGATATCAACATTAAATAACCCAGAGATATTGATATGCCAGTAAACAAAATCATCCATATCAAACTATACATTTACACAAACTCATTTTGTAGATTACTCGTTATTACACCCTGTCTCCTCTTACTTTCGATATGCCATGTGAGTGTCAAATTCTCTGAGCCCATTTTTCCTTCTTGTACGTCCCTGTAGCTATTTTCCATCAAACGTCATCGTTTCTCATATCTTCCTTCAGTACCGACACAAAAAGTAAGAGACATCTATTCATGCGGGGTTTTGTACTTCATTGATCATATGTCTTTTCCTAAATTCTCAGCATCCTTCGGTAGAACCACGTTTCTGTTGCCGCCAGTTTCCATTTAATGTCTGAGGATATTACCCATCACTCTATATGCAGGATGGTTGATATTACATAGCAGTTCAGCACATTTTCTTTGCTTATATGTCTTCACGACAAAATCCAGAGACGAATATGCAATGTGATAGGTCCTGATCTGGCATCTAGTACACAATCACTTTCCCACAGACATGCCGTGGCTTCCCTCTGTCTCTTCTACAAGTATTTTCACGGCATCTGTTCCGACGGGCTACTTTCGCTGATTCTCAGATTGCATGAATTTAAGCGAGCTACCAGGCTGTTATCTCGGTCCCACCCTTTCACTGTCAAAACGGTTAAATGTAACCGTCTCTTATATTCAAGCAGCTTCTTCTCTCGCACTTCCCATCTGTGGAACTCTTCACCCCTTACTTGCTTCCTCGATGACTATAATCTTCAAATATTGAAGTGTAATGTCAATCGACATCTGACACCCTGAGCTTGTTTCCCGACCTTTTTTGTATCCTTTCCTCAAACACGACTCTTTACTTTTGTTCTCAATCCTCTGTAACCCCTTGCGTGCTAGTGGCACTCTCGCCTTGCTAAAAAAAAGAAACAAAAAAAAAAGTCTGCTCTTCATCTGTAAGGAAATTGTCCAGCATTCATTATCATATAGCAGGATTAATATTAGATAACTTTCAGCACACTTTTCTTTGTTTCTGTTGCTTCAAGTCTCCTCTTCAACTAGGGGAGATTGTCCAGCATACACTGTCATATATGAGATTAGATATTACATAGCCGTTCAACACTCCTTTCTTTTTTTCTAATGACACTTGTCAGTAGAACCACATCTCTGTCGCTTCAAGTCTCTTCTTCATCTGTGAGGAGATTGTCCAGCATTCACTGCCATATAGGAGATTAGATATTACATAGCCGTCCAACACTCTTTTCTTTGTTTCTAAGGACACTCGTCAGTAGAACCACATCTCTGTCGCTTTAAGACCCTTTTTCATCCGTGAGGAGATGGTCCAGCATATATCAAGATTGATAATATATTGTTTTCAGCACCCTTTTCTTTGTTTCTATTGCTTCGTCTAGTGGTGGGTGTCGAGTATTCACTGCCATATTGGAGGATTGATATTACATAGCAGTTCAGCACTCTTTTCTTTCTTTCTCTTTTTTCAAGTCTCTTCTTCATCTGTGAGGAACTTGTCCAGCATTCACTGCTATACAGGATGATTGATATAATATACCAGTTCAGTACACTTTTTTTTATTCTCAATACAAGTCTCGTTTTTGTTTCGATTTTTCTTAAAACTCTGTCGTTCCTCATGTTTCTTTTATAGTATTCTCTGCCCGTAACTTTAACTCCGGCTGAAGTAGATTCATATGTTATTCAATAGAGGAACAAAAATCATCCTCCATTGTATACCATATGAATAACATAGGAATGATAGATAATCTGGTTTCAAGAATGATAAACAAATCTTGGAAATTATCCAGACGGAATTTACAAATATAATTAAATAAATAGCAAATAAATAAATAAATAAATAAACAATTCTGTGAAGAATTTTCAAAGCGCATTTATAACCAAATCTTGAAACTGAATTATCCAAAATTAAAAAAAAAAAAAATAACAAAATAAAACAAAATACTA